CGATGGAAGACTGTCGACGAAGTTCTGGGCAGGCGACAGCGCGCGCGGTGCAGCCAGGCTTTCGGCTCTTTTCTGTGATTGGGGCGCCGGGGCCGCGGCATGTGGCGCGGGGGCCATCATGACGCGCGGGGCCGCGGCCGGTGCTGCGTTCATGGTCGCTGGCGGTGAAGCCGGGAATGCCGAGGGAGCTGCGGCACCTGATTCACGGGCGGCGCTGGCATCACGGCTTCGGTTGGCGCTGCCCACTCCAGGCGCGGCCGCAGGTTCTGCATCAATGCTGACTGCCTTGCGGCTTTCCTGCTGCTCGCGGGCGGGCTCGGGCGCTGCCGGCAACGGCTTGGGGACTGGAACGGCTGATCGCTCCAACGCGGCCTTGGGCGCAGGCGCTGGCGCTGGCATGGGGAGCTGTGCCGGTGCGGACGCAGGCGCGGGTGCGTGTGTACTCGCGCCTGGCTGCCCAAAGGCGATATCTTTTTCCTCCTGGGTGCCGCGGTCAAACTGCAGCACCAGCAGCCCTGTCAGCCCGGCCAGCGCAATGCTGGCGAGCATGGAAATTTTCCAGCGCGGCTGGTTGGCGGCTTCACGGTTTGCCACTGGCGGTGTCGGGGGAGTGGCCTGCTTTTGCGCTTCAAGAACAGCGCGGGCGTGTTCCTGCACACGCAGCCTGACCTGCGCGCCCGGGCGCGACATGTCCTGCGCATTCGCTTCGTGGTAGCGGCGTGTGAGTTCGTCGTCGGGGCGGCGGCCAGAGCCGCGATCTTTGTGCGCGCTCATGCGAACTCCCGTAAAGATTGCTTGAGGCTGCTGCGCGCGTAACGCAGGCGGCTCTTGGCGGTTTCAAAACTCGTGCGGGTGGTGGCGGCTATTTCTTCAACACCCATGCCGGCCTCGACCTGCAGCAAAAACGCCTCTCGCTGCGGCGCAGGCAGCGCTTCAACCGCTGCGATCAGCGCGGCGGCCTGCTCGCGCGATTGCAGTTGGCGCAGCGGGCCAAAACCCGAGTCGGCGGCGATGCTTTCATGCAGGGCGGTGTCTTCATCGGTGGCATCGCCAGTATCGAGGCTGGTGTGGTTCTT